GGGGAGGGTTGGGGTTTTTGGGGGGGGGGATAGTTTGATATTAGAATGAATTCAGAAGTGAAAATTGGTACTTGTCACTAGGACTGAAAACTGAAGCGCCAAAAAGAAATTAACTATCTATTCCCCATTTCACTTTAGTGGAACTGAGTGCCTTGTTTCCCTCAGACTCTTCTGAAAATCTTAACCCTGGAAAAAATGCACAATTGACAATGTACCATGCTAGAAAAACAAAGACAGCTGAGAACACTTGAAAATAAACTGCATTTGGACTTGCAATCTCAGAGCTACCAATTTTGCTTAAAAATTTAAACAAATTTTAAAAGACTTTTTTTTTTTAACAGACAGTTGTACTCACATTTAATAATACCCCAATGGGATGTCTTCCACATATTGTATTATGGTATTTCTTCAAGTAATTGCTAAAAGATACAGGGTCTAGCTGTTCTATAATGCTCATACCCTGAAAAAGAATCAATAGCAATGATTACTATTTTCTTAGAAATATAGGCACTTTACAGTTGCTATCTATCACAACTACATGAGGTTTCCCTCCCCTCCCTTCTCAAATGCTCAAGTCTGAATCAATGAAGTCTCATGCAAATGAGCGGCATTTTATACTTGTATATAGACAGAGGTTTTGACAATGATCTGACATATGTGGAGCTATCTTCACATCTTCAGAAATGCACTGTGAATGACTGTCTTAACACTGCTCCTAATGCCTACTCCCACACTCCTATGTAGCTCTGCTCCCTGAGCAGCTTCACTCCTGATGGGTTTTTTTGTACATCAAGGCCCAGGCAGGCAGAAAAATCTATGTGAGAACAAAGCCTATTCACCTACACTAAACACTGATGTATATGCAAATTTAAATAGGATCATACCAGTGTTCCAGGCAAAGACAACTCTTTCCTGTCAGTATATAATTCAAATCAAATAAATGAAAGACAGTTTAAAATAAATCTAACCCTGTTATAGGCAAAGATTCTGCCTCCCACGGCTATTCTCTGGCAGCTTCTCACCAGACAGTATTAGATATTGTGCTTCCTTCCCCTTCTGAGAACTGCTTAATCTATTTGAAATCTGCAACAGGTTACTGAGGTCCAACTGCTGACAGACTCCGTAAGAGGTATACACTTAGGCTAGGGACAGACATTACACATATACTGGTTTAAGTGATCAGAAACTGGTTTAAATGTGTAACAGAACAAATGTTCAGTGTACATAAACCAGTTTGAAAATGGCTGAAACCAGTTTGAGATAAACCTGGTTGAATATAGTATCAGACTTAACTGATTTGGGTCAAACTGGTTTATGCATGTCTGTCCCAGACCCCTTCCTGGTTTAAGTTAAATCAGAGTTCCCCAGCACCCCAGATGCTTTGTAAACTTGGGCAGGGCTCTGCTCTCTGCTCCAGCCCAGCAGGGCTGGCTCCTCCCCTCTGCTCTCTGGCTACAGCTCCAGCAGAGACTGCAGGTATAGTGGTGTCTGCCTGCCGTCCTCCTGCTCACCCCCACCACCACCACCATTCCCTGCTCAAGCAGGGATTCCCTCCTCCCCTCTGCCTTAAAAACCTCTCAGCATTAGCTAGTATACCACATGCTGGCTACAGTCCGTGCTGTGGGAGACGGGACAAAGGCAGACAAGACAGTGTTGGCTGAGGGATTTTTGAAGCTAAATGAACAGGTAGCTGGTAATGTCCCTCCATTTCTTCCTTGGAAAAAGTTGTTTAAGAAGAGCTTGAAGTAATAAGAGATGCCTTTGTTTTGTTTGATGGTGTGCTAAATGGTAACAATTGCCTGGGTAACTCCCTGCTGTGTAACTAAATGCTCTGTTATCAACTACCTGCTGGCTCCCTGGCTGGTCAGGAGGGAAACCCCTCCCTAACCAGAGCATCCTGCCAGGGCCTGGCAACCCCCCCCCCAGCTCAGCACTATAAAAGGGAAGGAAGGGCTGCTCTGGTGATTACAAACTGGTTCAGCCTAGCCAGGTTAGACTAACCTACAAAAATGGAATCAATTCAGACTCAGACTTTTAGAATGTCTGTCCCTAGTCTTATTCTTTTCCTCTCAGGTACAGATAATAGAGTAACTAAACACTGTGTCATGGAGGGGAAAAGGGGTTCACAGTGAAGAGAGATCATTCTTTCATACAGAAAGTTCTCTCAAGTTTTGCTTTTGTATATGAAGGGATGGGAAAAAAGTGGAGAATAAGAGGAGAATGTGTGATTAATAGAGCCTCTCAAGTTGCCACCATAACAAAGTGTTAAGAAGGTGAAGGGCCTTTAACAGAGCTGAAGGGAAGGGAGATGAGTATGCTGCTTACATGTACAACTGTTCTCTTACCCAAAAGACAGTTAAATTCTGCAACTGTCTTGTTGTTTTCAAGGGATTTAAGATGCACTCTCTGGCCCTTTCACTTCCAAACTCAAGCCAACCTAGCCTCCTTTGCTGACACAATCAAAGTACCAACAAGCATATAGATTGTAATCAGCTTGCCTTACAGTTGCTGAATGGTGCAAACTTTTGCTTACTGCTGAACATTGGTGACAGATTATTTGAAAATAAACTAACTCTGTGGCCTGTCAATTTTACACATTGTACAGCAGTATAAAGCAGAATCAAGCTTAAATGCATAGCCACGTGAAATGAAACATTCCAACTGCAATCATCCCAATTTTAAACAATTGGAATATAGTTGCAAATATAATAAGAAAACCATTGTTTCATGAATTGTTTTAAAAATAAGCATAGTACACAAACTGTATTGAGCCAAGAGATTTATTTCACAGCCATGAGTCACTGTAATGTCCTTTGCACAGACAATTTAGCAACTGTCTCAACTAAATGGGCATGGATTTAGCAGAATGCCAAGTAAGCAGATTTTGATGGAAGAAACAACACTGTGGAACATTTAGAGTTATGCAGGTCACTAATGAATACTAGTAAAAGCTGCATTCTACTACAGGCTACACATGCTACATGTTTTATAGGGGAAAAAATTAGACATAGTTTAGAGAATTTTTTCAGGTAAGCAATTACTGATTTGGGGTGCCTTAACTCCTCTGTGCTCTACTCATCATGCCAGGAGGATATAATTTTTACAAGTGTTGGGCACCCACAATGTCAATGAAAAAAAATGTGAACTGAAGGTATACTGCATCTTTGAAAATCAGGCCTCAAAGTACCCATAGTTAGCCACACTTAATTTTGGACCAGGCTACTTGAGAACTGGACAGTTTGCATATTAAATCTTAAAAGTGAAAGATGATGAGACAACATGTTTTAATTAGCAAAAATTTTCAAAATCACCACCACCACCGCAATTCAACAAGTAAAATGTCTCTTTTCTTCAGTATTAAAGGCAGTGATCTAGCAAGATTTCAAAAAAGGAAAAAATGTTATATTTACAAAAGATCATTTTTTTCTTTCTATTCCATGGGTATACCTCCACTAAGTTTGATGGAAGTATCAAACATACAAATGTAACAGAAATGAGGAATCATGGAGAAGTGTTTAGTCATGAACAAAGGGAACTACCTTTCAAACATTTTTGCAGAATGCTCTGTATGCCCTCCCATTCTTACTTCACAGGATTGTGGCAAAAGGTATTTAATTAGGGGTCTCCTTTAGTCAAAGCAAAACAAAATCTTAGATTATTGTTAACTGGCTGCTAAAAATGCAATGTCGTGTAAACTGTATTCTGGCTATGTTAATTATATACATGCCCTTATAGCCGTGTCTACTTAGGAGAACTGACCAAAATAGACATTTCAGAAAACCTGCCCCCACCCACGCCCAACATGCACCCTACTGAAGAATTTTTAGCAGTCACTGTACTCCAGCATGCTTAAGTGCATGCTTTCTGAGCAGACGAAGTACCTTCCTCATCAGGAGGCAATAAAGAGGAAGTCTTTAGTAGTAAAAGTTATCATCTCTGTCAATAGGAAGCCAGTCTTCTTCCAAAACAGAGGCTTTCTTCCTTGCATCTATTTGAAGAGGGCTAGAGGATCTAGCTGCACCTTTGCTTCTCTATCACTGTGAAAGAACTCAGGGGTGACTGATGCCTCCTTGGGCACAATTTGTGGGCGGGCCTGGGCCAAAAGCCCCATATCCGCTCCTATACTTCTGTGCCATGGCTTAGTGCCCCCCCAACATGCTGCCGGCCCATGTGGCAAAAAAATCTGCTGTGTCCTGAGCAGTGCCTAGTCGGGGGCCAATCTCAGGGGGGTACGTGGCCCCCCCCACATATTCCCCCCTACCAGTTGCCTGTGAAAGAACTAGTATCATATCTGAAGAAACGTGAGGTGGGTGAAGGCTGGATATGAAAATGAATGCATTCCTACCAAAAGCTCAGGAAGTGTGTGGTAAGCCACTGGCAGGAGGAGAGTACTGCAACATCATCCTCAATTCCAAGGATGCACAGACTGTGCATCTGCTACACAACTGCTGAGAAAAAGCTTCCAGAATTATTAAAGAATAAAATCTACTCTGAGGGTCTTCATCCTATTAATCGGGGGGGGAAAGCCAAACCCCAAATGGATGAGATTTGAGATAAGAAGCTGGCTTACAAATATGTTGGAACTCCTCATAGCAATGGTTTAGACATGCCACAAATCAGCCCTGCACTGTCCCCGAGTGCCATTTTGATCCCCTTCCTCTACCAAATCTTCTATTTTGCTTTTTTCTCATTGACTTGTGCTCCCTGCCTGATCTGCTGCTGTGCTCTCTGCTTCCTGCCCTATTTGCCGCTACACTGCCTGTCCTGTCCCCAATCTGCCATATGGCAAACACAGAGGCTGCCTGTGTTACTTGCAGCCCATGTGCCACAGAGTGTTCACCTCTGCCCTACAGGAACAGATTATCATGTATTTAAATACATCTGAGGTTGGTTAGAAGAGAGAAGATGGGCATTAACAGACCCAAATCACCATACTACAATGCAGTAATAGTTTTAAAGAAAAAAAAAATCAAAATGAGACTGAAAATGACTCTGATTAAACAGGGTACAGTAGGAATTACTTTCACCAAATTATCAACTCTTTGCCACATACCTACTAGACAATTCAAAAGTCTGCTGTCTGCAAACCTGAATCACAGATATTAACAGGGAAACCTGGTGTAAGCTACCATACCTTAATTACCATTTTTCAAAACAGGTCTTGTCTTAATTGACACAGTAAGGAAAAAAAAATGCTGCAAAGATCTAATTACTACTCTACCACTCCTGATGGGGAAAAAAAAGTGAATGGCAGGAAACAGATGCTTGTATAGACATGTAGAAAAAGATGCTCCAGGAATATTGCCAAAGGGGAAAAGCGAGAATAACTTCAACAGGCAGCATTTAACAGCTTAAAAAGCTGAACAAGATTTGCAAAGCAACAATTTTCTTTTGACAACTATTATAGAGCATTATGGATGTCAGGAGCAATTTTGTGATTTAAATATGCTAAGATTTACATTTCAAGCAAAATTAAACCTTTAAAATCAGTCTTGAGATTTCAGCATAAAACTCTTCAGAGGTCCATCAGAGTCTCCACTTTTTTATTAAACAGATCTTTTAAAAATGTTTAAACAATAAAAATAAAAACAATTAAAAAAAATTAAAAATAAAGTCATCCCCCCCACCACCCCCGGTCTTATTTCTGTAGTTAAAGAATCAGTTAGCACAAACTCAGATTTTTATGCACAGGTGAATTCTCAATACAAACACCCAACAGCTAAGAACTGTGCTTACACTGAGTTACTCTTTGCCGTCTTCTTCCCTTCCCTATCCCCCTATCTACTGCCTGCTAGGGCTGTACGAAATTTCGCTGGCCGTTCTGTTCTGACACTGTTTCGACCAATTTCAAGGTTGAAACAGCAAAATCAGAACAAAACAAAGGCCGTCGAAATAGCCTCGAAACAAAATGAGGCTGGTCGAAACGTTTCGAAAGTTGAAACGTTTTGACCATAGGCTGGGGATGGGAAGTCAGTCCAGTTGGGCTGACTTCCCATCCCCAGCGCAAGATCCAGCAGGGGGCAGGGGGCAGCCCGGCTGGGCTGCTTCCCAGTGCCCTGCACTAGATCGCACCAGGGGCGATTTTTGTCTCCCAAAATCATAACTTCTAAAATAATCCCTAGCTATTCTGGTTGTAAAACAGTGTTGGAAAACAGAGTGTAATAAATGCAGTGATGCCTGCTTGAGTCTAGAACAATGGCCTCAAGAGGTGTTGAATATCTCGCACACAAAAATCAGTTGCTCGCAAGCCTAGCAAGCATTGTTTAAAATTGATACGTTATTAACACTTCCTTGCTTATTAAAACATATTAGAAAGGAGAGCACAGGTCTGTGACTCTTTGCCCTCTATCTATTTTAAGGGACATCTTAACTAGGCCCCCAAATACTGTAGGTGGTCAAAGAGAACTGCTGCTTTCTACATCTAGTCAAGAACAAGCCAAGCCCATGGAACCCAGCAGAGTATCCGAGCTTGATGGGGCCAGGAGTAGGTAAGCCAAGCTAAAGAGGTCCAGTAGAGTCCAAGTGTATATTCAAAACCCACTGAAGTCAGGCCAAGCTTGAAAGCATATCTAGTCATATTTTGAGCAGCTATATAATTTAAAACAAATAGCATCTATTTTGCTGATTCACAAAAGTGGAGCTACTTTTGACAATGGAATTTGGAAAAAAGTACCTTCAAATATTTTCTCCCTGACTACAGACAATTGGGGCTGTCTCAAGTTCCAGAATGCTGCATTTTTTCTCAATCCTAGACAGCAACATGCTCTGGTTAGGCAACCTCCAGTTTTCTGTGCTAAGGCAAAGAAGAGCTTTCCCATTCTTCCACCCAGTGTTGTTTCCTTCTTTTCTTTTTGGCAAGTGATGGCACACAGCAGTGTTATGCCTCAGGGACACAGGATTTCACCTCCATGAACCCCTCTCTTACAACACAGCTGTTTTCCTTCTCTGCCATCCCGAGCAGTGACTGTGGCCAGAGACACTTTCCTCAGCATGACAAAGAACTCCCCACCTGTACCTCACAAAGTTTTAAGTATTCTTTTCAACTGTTTTCCTCTAGAGAAGGATCTGTCATTTCTCCAAAGTATAGACTACATAGTAGTCAAACTAATATTTTGTAAATTCCTTGGTGCTCATGAACAAGTAACTTCATTATGACAACTACAGGAGTTCAGAGAAATATAGTGGGAATCATTTAGTATATTTTCTGTCTTTTATTGCTATATAGCAGCTGGTAAATAAAGTCAGAAGCTAACCTATGTGACCATCCAACATATAGCACTTGCACTTCACATGGCAGAGTGAGAACTTCTAAATATGACAGTTATTTCCCCCAGATAAAGGCACACATCTCAAATTCACAAAGGTTCTTAATCCTGCTGCATGTCAGAAACATACAGAAACCTGAAAAAAGATGTTCTTCCCTCTGTGAACCACTAACAATGTCTCAATAACATTTTCTGAAAGGCTGGAGCAGATGTTCTGCATCCTTCACAATGCTGAACTTGGCAGCATCCTTGAAGTCATTTTTCTTAATTCTATTGCACCCCTGAGTAATGCGGATATGTGAATCTAAGAGACCCATGAGTATTTAGCATAAAAGGCTCCAAGTCTCTTTCCAAAAAGTTGATGCTGACTGACTAGATGCTTCAGAACCTTAGAAAAACCCCTGCAGAATTTTTTTGATTTCCAGGAAATATTGGAATCATCCAAGTCTTGCTTGGATGACAAGCATTTTCAGTTTCTGTACATAAAGCATAACAATTAAATCCAGATGCAAGTAAGTACATGTTGGTTTTTAGATTAAATCATTCCCTTCTACATCTAGGGAAGAGAGAAAATGGGCAGTCCCAATGGAATAGAAATGGTTTTGTTTTCTTAATCTGCGCAATCTCCACATTTTCCCCTCCACTTAGAGTAATTAAGCTTGTTGAAACCATCACCAACACCACAGGTAAGATCCCTGCCAAATTTAACCAGCACTACAACACGTGTGAGCTACCAGAATATTCTGTTTCAAAGTCATAAAGCTCACTGTTTCTCCTACACACATGTACAGTGAAGGAATTTCAGGCAGTCAGGAATACATTTATTTTCAGAAGTAATATTTGCAAAATTCCACCCACAATACATTGTGCACACTCAGTAAAACGTACAATACCAGCTGCCAAACTACTGAATGTAGTACAATAGTTAAAAACCCTGTTTATGGCAAGTGAAAGGAGAAAATGCATATACAGCATATCTGTTCCTGAATATTTTATTAGATTCTAGAAAGGTTCAAGAGACATGCACAGATTATTTTTTTCAGATAGTTAGTTCCCCCAAATCTGAAAACTTACCATTTTATCTAGGTGCTCAATGGATCTATAAATTTCTCCTTGGGATTCATCATAGTAACTGTAACGGAACCTTTGACCTTCAAACAAAAGTTACATACAGAATAAAAAGGGACAAACTAAACTGATAGCTAAAATGCTCCCTACTGTATCAGAATCAGATTTATGATATTCATAAAGTAACAATCTTTCTCTGTTATAACTTTCTACTCCACTGAGAGAATTCCAAACATTAGCACAGACACTCCCCAAAACCACTTAGGAACACAGGACTGAGAGGCATCCTGGGCCAGGGAATCCAGTCCCCTGTGTTTCAAGGCAATCATTATGCCTTTAAGGGATACTTATACTTTGAAAAATGACTATGTATAAAATGCCACTACTGGCACAATGTGTTAACTGCCTACCCATGTCTTCACATCAAAATTCCCTTGGTTCACAAGTAAACAGACATGTCTGACTGCCAGCCCTGCAAAAATCTGCAACCTGAAAAAACAAGGTGTTCTCTTCTGCTTGCCCAAAAGCAGCCATGATAAAGATAACATCAGAATTTTAAAAAGAATCCAGGTCATCCTTTCATAGCTCTACTGGCTCCACAATTCTGAGATAAGTAAAATTAACAAAGATGACCTGAATGCAAAAAGGGAAGCACATCTTAGGTAACATGGAAAGTAACAAAAATCATTTGTAACAAAAATGACTACAGGTCTAGAAATGACTTGCAAGTAAAGGTTGGGAGAACTTTAGGATTATTTAGTCAGGAGAAGAGAAGACTGAAGAAAGATTTGGTACCAGTCTTCAAATACCTGAAGGATAGTTATATAAAGAAAATGTTAATAGACTATTTTCTGTGGCTGCAGGGGACAGGATAAGGAGTAATGAGCTTATACTGAAGCAGGGCAAGTTTAGGTTGGAAATTAAGAAGAACTCTCACTATAAGGGTGGTTAAGCATTGGGACAGACTATAGAGAGAGACTGGAGAGATTTAACTACAGGTCAGACAAACAAACACTTGTCTGGGATGTTTTAGACAGGGGTATTCTTGCCTTGACCAAGGTGTTAGACTAGATGACCCCCCGAGATCAATTCCAGGCCTCATTTTCAATTATTTATGTACCTTTTTTTTTTTTTTTTGGAGAACTACTTTTCACCTGTAACCAGACATTAAAAAAAACCAGGTAAAGGTACTGGGTAGTTCATAGAAAGACATGGAATCCAGGATTCCTGGATTCTATATTTGGCTCCGTCTTCAAAACCAGTTGGATAATCCTAGGCAATTCATCTGTCTCCAGCTTACCTATTACAAAATAGGTGGACCACTGATTTCTATGGATTTTTGTAAAGCCTAATAAATTAGTTTGCTTATACAGATTATAGATCATTCTGATATCCTTAACCGAAAGACATTAAAGAGCAAGGCGATATAAAACATTTTTTATTGGGCTATAAAAGTGCAGAGAAGTAGAGAAGACCCAGAACGCTCCACCACTTTCCCCAGCCCACTCAAAACTTGAAGACTGACAAATTATTTTGTCTAATATTTTTTATTCTTACAGAAAGCAGAAAGGCATTCAAGTTTAAAGTTTACATTTAGCAAAGATCTCTAAACACCTTCAATATGCTTAAAGAAAGGACCTCTTCAAACATAGCTACAAATTCTTATAATAGAAAGGTCTGTAACTTACCCCAATGGCAAAAGTCAGAAGAAACCACAAAGAGGTTACTAGGATCTGCTAGGTATTTACTAAAGAGTTTTCCAAATTCCTGTTCTTTTGACTCACTCAGTGCTCCGACCAACACAGGAACAATGGTAAACTCATCCTTATGGCTTATAAGCAAAAGAAAAAAATGTCATTTAAAAATAATTTCTAATAAGGTTATTATTTCTAATACAACAGCTGAAATAATACAACCCAAACACTTAAAAGGACGCTTTCAATTTGAAATACAGGTAATTTGAAGAGATCTAAGTAGTTCCAGTACTAAGCCTTCTCCACATTTCCTTGACAATTTTTTGTGGTTTTACAATCTCTAAAAAAACAAAAAACCCTGCAAAACACATAGTTCACCTTTGCTGGGAGATATAATATCCTTAACCAACAGAAAAAAACACAACTGTAGAGAAAAAACAGAGAAATGGACTCTAAACAAGACTGAAATACCCCTTTATAGATAAGCAGCAGAACTGACCCACACCAGTGTTTAACCAAGCCAATAGTGTCAAACCCACCCTGCCCCCAGGCCACATCCAGACCACAGGGCTCCTCACAGGCTGGACATGGGGACAGAAGCGGTGCAGCAGTGGCAGAAGCAGATGTGGGGGTTAACACAGCTGTCACTCACCCCTACCACCAACAGGCATCCAGCCTCCATTGGGGTCCACCAGGTTTCAGTAGTGGGCCCCAACCCTCCCCCACCCCATTTGCCCCACATAACAGCTCCATGTACTAGAAGTGGCCTGCAAGCCTTAAGTTTGACAACCCTTAATTCAGCCATCATTACAGAGTCAGCACAAACCTCAGGCACTATAGGCCCTGTCACCCTGAGACTTTTACCCAAAGAGCCAAACTAAGAATCAACCAAAATAATTTTTCCTGATTTTTCAGTCATATTATTCAAAACTGTCCATCTGTAACAACCATAGGTATAAGTAAAACAGGCTGCTTGCAGATGTTTAAAAAAAGAAAGCCAAAAAACGGCACTTTAAACTCTGTGAGTTCCCATGACAAGCCCATCACATGCCCAGAAGAGGCAGCGTGTTAGTTGGACCCAGTCTGCCTGATGTCTGTATAGACCAGGAGTTTTAGTGGGGCTTTGTTCACACTTTTATCTAATAGCTGATTGAATTAGCTTTAGATAAAGGCTCCAAAAAGCCCTGCTGAAGTGCCCAATCTTTAAAGATGCTGCAGAGCCGGGTCGAAGTAACACACTGCATCTTCCAGTAATGCATTTTTTTTTGTTTCGTTTTGTTTTGTTCTTTAACCTCTGCACACGTGCACATACATATGCTCCCCCACAAGAGGTGGCCCTTGCCAGGCACATCCACAGCTGAGGAGCTTGGGGAGGTGGGGGTGGAGCTGCTTCTACGCAGTCCGGCCCCACAGGCTGGACTCCATCCCCCAGACTGCTGCATGGTGCCAGGCAGGCAGGTGGGCAGGGCTGCTTCCACCCAGTGTCCTCTGCGGTGCCAGCAGCCCATGCCACCTGCCAGCAGAGATAGAGGCTCAAGCATGGCTCACCCAGGGCCTGCCACGTGGTGGTATTACTCAGGCCCCAAATAAAACAATTGGTGGGCTGGATCCACCCCTGAATTAAGCCATTTCTTACATATCTCAGAACAGGCATACTTCCACTTGTGTGTTTAAACAGCAAGATTTTGTTTATTCCATTTGAAATACATACCCCCCTGAATATTTATTTTTAAACTTTGTTTCTCAAATAAAAATTCACTTTTAGCCTTAAAGCAAGGCAAAACAAAATCTAGGACCAGTAGAAGTTTTTCCCCCACAGCACTCCTATTCAAACAAGTGTAAAACGTGATTCTTGTATAGATTATTCAAACTTGAATACTCAGTTGTTTGCTCTTCTCCCAGTTTCTATCTGACCAGGAAGTCCCAGCCTCTAATCCATATTTTGCCTTGAATTTTTAATGTAAAATATTACAATTTTTCCCACTAAAGAATTACTTCTTCCTTCTGCAAATTACACGCAATTCAAATACATGACTTCAGTCATTGCACAGTTTTTTGCCCAAAGTACCTTTCCATGGCTTTAGCAGTATAAGGCAAATGCATTTCAATACTGTGTTCATCTTCATCTGTCTGTAGAGACATACGCTCAAACATTCCAGTCTTCCACAATTCTCCATAAACTGAAGAAATTTAAAAATAATAAAATGCTTCATTAAAATAAAATCCTACCAAGCAAACTATATCAGAAGTGGCACAATTAAACAAAGGCACCTGCATTCGAAACTATGACCATGACATCATTTTAAGTAATTTTCTCATTATAAGCATAAGTTGCTTCTAACCTGTTAGAAAATATATACATGTCAGTATCTTAAAAACTTAGCACACGGTAAAACAGCAGCATTTTTAGAACCTTTCAGAAGCTTTCTAGAAATAACATAAATCATTGTACAATTTAAAACCAAGTGTCTGCTCATCTGCATAATCTCTCCATTTCCAGGTTTTCACCAAGCATACAATTGGGCGGGGAACACAGATCAACTGAGATTCTACTGGTTGGATAAGAACACTGTACTCTACCTGTTAATGCAGTTAAAAGTATAATAGTTGTACGTTATTGATATTTTCCTCAAACTCCTCCCTCTGCCTATTCTGTGATGGAACAAATGACAACACAAAAAAACCCCCAAAAAACTTCCACTCTACATAGAATACAAAGCACAGATATGCCTTGTTCCAGTTCCCTGCAAGAGAATTCTCAAATTAAAAACAGTCAAATGACAAAGACAATATTTGCCCAAAACTATTTAAGTCTCTTAAACAGACCTTATATATTACTTCAGTCTGAAATGTTCCTATTTTATTAAGTAATAAAGTACCACAGGTCTTCTGCAAGTAAGCTGAGCAGTAGTTTATCAAATCTTATGAACTGGCATTCATGCATGCAGACATTTTGTTCTCTCACTTGAATCTAAGTCAGTTGTCAGGTACTTTTTTCTAATCAATCTGCAAAAAACCGTATCTAGTAGAACTATGCAATGGGATGAAGTGGAGTAGATCCACCCTACTGTAACAGTTTTCAATTCCGAGTTCCTCTCATATGATTTGTTTGGGTGAGAATAAACAAAGGTGAACAGTGTTTGGGAACTCAGTCTCAGAAGCATAAAAAGACATTTGAGATCAGTAAGGAAATACCTACTGATCTTACAACAGGTAGTCCTGTCGTTAGATTTTTGAGCATTCCTGTTTTTTTATGACACAGTCTCATGCCTTGCATATAACACATTAAAACATAACAGAGCTCCAAGAATTGTACTCTACACTGAAAACAGCAGAAATCTGTATTAGTTTTACATGATTGATGATTTCTGTGGAAAAAAAAAAAAAAAAAAAAATCAAACTTCCTAATTTCTAGCAATCAGAGCAGTTTAACATGATTATTACTAAACTCCTCAGGGTAAGGACAGTGGTCAGAACATTGGAGTTTTGGTCTATCACTGGTGCTCTTACATACTACCATAATACAAAGAGTTAGTCACATTGCAGCAATCCGTAAAACAATAGCTTACTGCATACTTACTCTTTTGATCAATTCGAAGATCATACAGAGGTGTTCTATATATGTCCACACTGGAAAGTGCACATCGGGAAAGGGGCACATGATGGGAAGGCCCAAGAATAAAAATTTTCCTACTATAATAAACAGAAGCATAATTAATACAAACACGCAAATCAGATTACATTTCTTCATGAATCTGCGCTAGTACAAGAAATTAAGATCTGGCTGACCTTTGTGTCTCCAAGGCCAGATATGAGAAAGGTAAACCTAACGTGACAGCAAAGTTAGCTGCCAGGCATGTGTCCTCAGTGGAGAAGAACAACGACGGTTTTAACAGCTACTCAAAGCTGCTTCTGATTAGGTTTGAGTTTTTCCTGAAGTTAAATTTAAGCCAGCTCTTTCCCCAATGGCAAAAGTCTCTCCCAAGCACAGTTTTTCATTCAGCTGTCTTACAGGTAACATTTCTTACAATACTGCTGATAACTGCAACCTCTATTTTACTGGGGAAAATCAATGAGTAATCATTATTTCAATTAGGGGTCAATCTTTTCTGCCATAAGGTTATGAGAAGTCTCTGACATTTTTATGTGCTTTATAGACAGTGTCATATAACTTATTTTACTTTTGCATATGAAAAACCTACAATTGCTTCAGGGAGGGGAGACACTGACAGGTTTGGCTTGTTTCTTGCATACAGAGTGGTTCAGCAAAGCAAAGGAAAAAAGTGGCAAAATGCTACATTGACTCGCTTCAAAATTTATCCAGAACTCTAGCACACCTCAGCCATTACATCGAGGGAGTGGAACTCGTTTCTATGAAATGACAGTGCAGAAAACATTCCTGATTATTAACAGATTTTCTTTAAAAAAACCCCAACACCCTAATTTTGTTCAGAATATTTTGCAAAGAACAAGAATGTTAATTATATCAGCCTTTTGTTATTTTTTTTTCTGATCACAGGCTGACAGGAAAGTTGGACAGGAAGGGACCTCACAAGGTCGTCTAGTCTAGCCCCCTGCTCAAGGCAGGTTCATCCCTGACTAAACCATCTGAGCCAAGTTAAGGTCCCTCTAACTTGCTCTTGAAAATTTCCAAGGATGGAGATTCCACAATTTCTCTATGTAGCCTGTTCCAGTACTTGACCACTGTCATACTCTCCAACTTACATTTCCCCTGCTGAAGCTTGAGACCATTGTTCCTAGTCCTCTCTCTTACAGTCACAGAGAAAAGCTCATCTCCATCTTCTCTGTAATCACCCTTCAGGTATTCAAATTCCCCCTCAGTCTTCTCTCCTCCAGACTAAAAAACCCTAGCTTTTTCAGCCTTTCTTCCTAAGGCTTGCCTCCCAGGACTCTAATAACTTTTATTGCTCTGCACTAGACTCTTCAAACTGTCCACATTCATCTTGAAGTGCGAGGTCCAAACTGGACACAGTATCACAGAATCATAAAGCCAGAAGAAACAGCTCAGGCTCTTAATAAAACTCAAATCTCTGAAAAATGGCAAAAGAAAAAAAAAAAAAAAAAAAAAAAAAAAAAAAAAAAAAAAAAAAAAAAAAAATCAAAAAAGAGATCAAACACTACATAAAAATCAGAGGCAATTCCCAGTAAATTTCAAAGTAAAATAAATTCTACATAAAATACTCAGGGAAACATATCTTTAAATATCCTTTCCCTTTTACTTTGGCCTCATTTTCTGATAATGGGTATATTTTCAAAAACAAAGTAGTAAGTATTTTCATTAATGCTGTTACAGAGGACTATTTTAATGTCTGAAACGTGAAAGTAATGAAAAAAAAACACAAAACTATTTTGAAATGGTTAGCTAGGAATTCAACACTCGGTAACACCATCAGCTTGAACACTGCTGTTAGGAAATGTTTCCCACTTAAACTAGTTTATACATAGAAGAGATCTATTAATGCTACTTACGTGATGTTAGGATCCACTTGTTTATAAGCATGGGCTGCACAAGACCCACAGTAGGTATATCCTGCATGGCTACAAAATAATTTTTATAAAATATTAAAACATTTGTGTCTAAGAATAACTATATAACTAAGCAATTTAAATAAGAATGTACTAAACAATTACATAAATAGCAACATCTAAAAAAAACTGGCAACCATTAATCAGGACTGATAATTATAAAAAAAATAGTTTTGGGTACATGTGGGATGTACTGTTACAGAGCATTCTAAAAATGTATTCTTTAAAGTGATACTGTTTCTCAAAGAAGGTGTGAGATACCAGTGGAGATTCAGAGTAGCACAAAGAAACAGTTAACCTGAAAATGGCAAATAAGTCATGCACAAATCCTAAGAATAACTGGTACATGACATCCTAAATAATACTATATGTACACTATTATCCAATTTCTATTTATATATGATCATTTATAGGCATTGTCCCTCTCAAAGAAAGACAACCTTCAAGTTCTAACCAAGCTGTATATTATTTATATACTAGCGAACTGCCCATCAAGAATGACAGATGAATTTCAAATAACAAAAACAAACAGACAGATTTTACTTTTTACATTTACTAAATAAACTAAACATTTATAAAACTTAAATAAAATAGGCTGAACATTTGAAGATACCAATCCCTTCCTGCACTTGCTTTTGTTCCAGCAGGCTGGAGGCACACCTGCCCAGGCTGCTGCCTGGCCACCACTTATACGCCTTTTTGCTGGGCAAGGGAAAGGGCAGGTGAGCTCCGAGCCTTGCAACAGCTGCCCACTCCCTGGGGCTTCCTCCTTCTCTGCTCAGGGCTCAGGATGGGGTCACCGCCGCTCACCCATTGCCTCGCTCCTCTGCCCGGATTCCACTTTTCCTCAGCTGGCCCCTCCCTCTGTCCTCCCTGCCACCCTCCCAGGAGGGGCTTAGTAGAAACAGCCATAGCTCCTGACTTTTTTCCCAGTTCTGGAACTTGGGATCATCCAGACATGATCACTAAACAAATGCTAAGGTTTAGCAAAGAAATTTCTCTGAAGACACAAATGTTCTCTCTCTCTCTCAGTTTTCAAGCTATTTACATTTAAAGAGCGTTACGGACAGACAGACACACAGACAGATGGACTACCCTTTATATTTATAGAATGATATCATAGCACAGTGGAGATCAACATTTTTGGCTGGCATGCCTCAAATTAAGCCCCACACCCTCCCCAGTGATGTTTTTACACATGCTCTGGGGGGTGGGGCGCTTTAATTAGAGTGGCTCTGGGTGCCGCTCTAATTAAACCACCTGGAGTATCTCGTGTATCGGTGTCCCTGCACTTCAAAATGGCCGCGGGGCACTTTAACTAAAACTCATTCGACGAGCTGTAGATAAAGTGCCCCCGCTGCCATTTTGAAGCATGGAGACACTAATACACCAGACTTGGAGGCTAGATGGAGCACAGTAATTACCACGCACCAGCAGACTCGATTAATCAAGTCTGCTCCAAAGCCCTATAATTACAATGCGTTGGAACAGCTTGTGCACTTGTGTACAGGCACCTCAAATGCCAGTCTGATCCCTTTCCCCAACCAATCCATCACTCTGCTTCTGTTCCCTGCTCTATGCTTCCCACCCAGTCTGTTGCTCTTCTTTCTGCTCCCTGCCCCATCTCCCACTATGCTGCCTGCTCCTTCCTTGATCTGCCACATGCCACACACAAAGATTGCCCATGCCACTTGTGCCACAGGTTGTACATTCCTCCTGGAGCAAATCCATGAGTACCTGGGTCTTCACGTCTAGCAATATACTACACTTCTTCAAGACTTCAAGGCAATAGTGAGGAAAGAACAAGACAAGGGTGGATAGATGTGGTACTGAAAGGACAATAGGTAATGAGGAGTAAGTCTGGAGGTAATTTAGAAATATGCACTGGCAATTAAAAGGATACATCAACCACAGAATGAATAAATGTAGGAAAATCAATTAAAATTAGCACAAGAACAGTGAAAACTAAGGAGAAATTAACTAGAAGGACAGGGGGAAAAAGCATTTCTCATCAGCATCCAAACCATGACGAGGCTTATGAGAGGCATTTCTCCATGCCTGATTTTCCAAGAACACGTTATTAGTTATTTCTTATTCTGCAGGTGGAAAAGCAGAGGCAAAGGTAAGTGAAACGACTTGCGGGTGGTAACAAACAAAAATCTGTGACACAGCTGGACAAAAAACCCAGATTTCTCGTTTCAGTTTTGTTCCCTGTCCTCTAGACCCCAGTGTTCTAAGTAGGACTTTGGTCCAGTTTCTTACAATATCTCTTGTGGTATCATTATAAATAAAGAAGGCATGCTTAATTTAAAAAAAATAAAATCACTGTAACTAAATTATCCTGATGTTCCATGGTGTCTGCCCTACCATTTTCTTTCTGCTCACAGCACTGACCTATTTTATTCTTTCATCTTATGCCTCATCTACCTTTATTAACTTTAATTTGATCTTAATATATTTTTAGAAATAGCTCCCATAATGTTGCCATCGTTTTTTCTAATCTATCCTGTAAACAGAAAGCTACTTAGGGCTGGTTAGTCAGTCTAGAATTTACTATCTTCTCAGAACCTTTAAAAATACAGTTAGGATTTTTTTTCCTGCAAAACAGTTGAACAGTTGAGACTTTTCCTTTTCACACCTCCTGTGTTGCTTTGGTAATTTAGACATTTGCATAAGTGTTTGTGAATTTTGCAGTAACTGGCAGTTCTATCAACATGTTTATATGGCTCAGGGCATCTTTGATTTTAGGGTATGACAGCTACAAAACCATACTGTAGTTGAAACTTCTTTCAGTATTTGTTCATGGCTTGCAGCAGAGAAAACAGTGAATTCTTTGATCTTTGCATGTGGCTAAATTTGAGTCAAATTCATTCGCTACTTCCAGAGACATGAAGAAACACAAAGAAAATGGGGTTACTAGGTTTATAAGGCTTGAAATCACCCTCTCAAGCACGGTGAAGCATAAGGGCTTTTACAGTATTAAATAAGGGTTATTTTGCAAAGTCAGTAAAAGCTCCATTAAGTGGCACCTTACAAGCTGGCATATTCTATTAACCCGCACACCAGCTTGTAAGGTAAAGTGAAACCGAAGTGCCCACTGTGGCACTTCTGGTTTCTCCAAGCCCCCATGGCCTGGGGCATAGCAGGGGCTGCTGAGCCCCCTGCGCTGCTGAGCCCCCATGGCCTGGGGCATAGCAGGCTGCGCGGGGCCCACCTCCCTGTCCTGCAGGGCCTGCAGGAGAGGCGGTGATGCTGTGCAAGGACGCCTGTTCGGGCCGCTCAATTAACCGGCATATTTTGTTATCCTGGAGGGATGCTGGATAACAGAGCTTTTACTGTAGCAAGGTTCATGGTCTTGTTGGAACACTGAAAAGACAATTACCTCATGTATTTCCTAGAAGTTTAGCATTAGTGTTACGTTCTTTTGAAGGAGGAATATTAGACCATGGTTTCCAGGCATTTTCACTGTCTGAAGAGAATTATTATTTGGACTCAAATATATCATAGTTTCATAGTTCTTAGGGATGGAAGGGACCTAAACAGATCGTTAGGTCCGACCCCCTGCTCCGGGCAGGAACAAGTGCTGGGGTCATAACGCCCCAGCCAAATATCTATCCAGCCTCCTCTCGAAGACCCCCAACATAGGAGAGAGCACCATCTCTCTCAGGAGTCCATTCCAGAGCCTGGCAGCCCTAACTATAAAGTAATGCCTCCTTATGTCCAGCCTGAACCTTCTCTCTAACAATTTGTGGCCGTTATTCAGGCTGGGTCACATCAAAGATCAACCTTTTTTTAAAACCTGATCAAATTTTATTTCAACGTTTTGAAGACATCTTTCAAATGCCAATGCAGACCAGATCATGTCTAGAGCCCAAACCAAAGTTTTAGAAATATTTAGAACTGCAGGATTTGTTTTTTATGAAGAGAAAGAAATGATAGCAAAGGCAACTTAAGCCTGAATTGATCCATAATTCAAACAGCACTTTAGCAAAGGTTGTTTAAAGAATTTAGATCGCCAATTTCATACCAGTTATACTACTATATAACTATACTTGCAGAGCTGGCATATTCCCCATGAGGGGCCTACAATACAGACCACAGTCCCTAGCCCAAAAAACCCTCAATCTTCATACATCATTATAATGCACTCCTTGAGCTTGTTTATTGGCACAACCTTTCTGGGAAAATTAATGTTTTAAAGCATAGACAGACAAGGTTCTTTGGGTAAATCTGATATCTTTTATTAGACCAACTGAAATAGTTGGAAAAATTCTTAGCAAGCTTCATCTGAGACTGAGGAATCAAGGGTATTTGAACTCAAAAGCTTGCTAAGAAGAATTTTTCCAACTATTTCAGTTGGTCTAATAAAAGATATCAGATTTACCCAAAGAACCTTGTCTGCCTATGTCCTTAGATCAATATGGCTACAACCTACATCCCTGTTTTAAAGCATAGCTTCTTTGTCCAGACAAGGTAATCATCTATTTGCACAAATTTTATGCAAGTTTCATGATACTATAAATACTTAAAGTCCACAAAACATGCTCTTAACTAAAACCAATACCAAGGCAGTGTTTCCCAACCTTTTTCGTCCCACAGCATACTTATCTATATAAAAAAGCACAGCGGCACACCGGACGCAGAGCTGGGGGAGATGGAGTGGCGTGTGGCCAGTCGGACACCAACAGGGAGGAGTGGTATGAGGCCGGCCAGCCAAAATTTTGGGCTGGAGCCACGCTCCCCATTTGTCCATGTCCACAGCAGCAGCAGGTGGGGGGCGTGGCTCCAGCCCAAAATGCCATAGCACACCAGTTGGGAAACGCTGCTTTAAGTAATGTCAGGATAAAGAAAGGGTTTAACATCCTTAAAAACTTCAAACGCACAGATTTCATACTTACGGTGCAATAATGGCTCTAGCAGGTCTTTTTGTAGATTGTACTTGAGAAAGCCAACCTTCTAGCTGTGCATTCAGCTGGGGTCCTACAAACAAACAAACAAACAAACAAACAAAAAAGAATATGCTGAAGTAATGGAATGCTCTAGCACAATTTAAAATGTAACTTATTACGAAAAACAAATCATCTCTAAAAACACCACCAATTAGATTTTCAACCACCCAAGACTGAATTGAAAGCTTGCATTTCAAAAGCAGGAATAAAAGCAATGGGAGCAACATGACAGTGTGGTTTATGGTTGCATTGGGTATGGTCAAGCCTCCTAAACTGTGAAGTTTTATTTACTGCACCAATAGTGCAAATCAGTTTCTGCTTCCTGTGCATCAAACAAATATGCATGCTGTGCCAAGGGCCACTGTTTCCAATGACAAATTCACAAGAGGGTGGTAATACACACACAGTTAATTTACTTGACTAATCATTTAGGGCAGGTGTAGGCAATCCCCAGCATGGGTGCCAGAGTGCGGCACGCAAAGGCTTTTTGCTTGGCACATGCACCTTGAGGCAGGTGGTAGGAAAGGGGCCGGGGCTGCGCTGCCACAACAAGGATTGGGTCCTTCATGGGTCCTCTACCGTGTGCCCCTGGCACACCAACTTCTTGCAAGTCCAGGTTGGGGGTATTTTTGGCACTCTACCCAAAAACGTTGCCAACCCCGATTTAGGGCATCTTTACCTGTGCTTTAATTAGAGCAGCTTGAGACCCACTGTAATTAAAGCGCCCGCAGCGCCTCATGTATTCAGCGTCCCATGCTTCAAAATGGCAGCGGGGGCACTTTAACTCAAGCTTGTTCAAAAAGCCTTAGTTAAAGCACCTCCACTGCCATTCTGAAGCAGGGGGATGCTGAATACACAAGACAAGCTGCTGGAGCATGCTAATTAGCACGCTCCAACAGACTCAATCAAGTCTGCTCCTATGTGCTGTAATTATAGTGCGACAGAGCATGCATCCTTCATGTCTACAGGCACCCCTTCTGTCTAAATTTCAAACTGATTAAATAGGACAATTATGCAAGTTTGAGAGAGCAATATTAAAAAAAAATCATGTGAGGTCAGGATTTTTGCAGTTTTTACTGGACTTGCTGCATGGTTGGGATAGATTCAGACAAGCTTTTGGGCACCACAGTACCTTTCCTTGGGTCTACAACATCACTTCAATATTACTAAAAACATGGATGTTACTCACAGGCCTCGCACAATGAATTTTAACCCATTAAATGCTATTATATGATACTAGTAAAAGGCTAAAATAGTTGATTTTTAATAATCCATAACCAACTACAAAAATTAAACTAACAGCAAGGTGATAGTTAGGGAGTCTGCAAAATATATGAGACTGCCTAAAGTGAGAAAATGCCATACCTACTTTATAGTACAGGTTTCCCTTGCCAACCACGGTTTTGCCAATCACAGTTTTGAGTATCCACACTTCAGAGAAGGCGGGGGGGTACAGTTGGAAAATAGTCCCCACAGTCCCCCTGGCCCTGCTTGTGCCTCTCACTTCACCCCACCCCCTCTCCCAACCACCACAGCCTTGCTGGTGTCCCTTAACCCCACCCACAAGCCCCTGCTCCCCCAGGCCTGCTGGTTTTGTCAACCATGGGAAATTTCAGGAACCTAACCCCCATGGTTGGCAAGGGAAACCTGTATTTCATTTGGGCAAGTTCAGTATTAAGTCAACGATCCTACGTTATTAACATTGAGAAGATGTGGGTGCTAACCTTGACAATTGATTAACACAGTGGCTCCCAACGTTTTTTTGCTGCGCCCCGCTGCTGGGAGCAGAGTGTGGCGGCGATGGCTGTCTGGGGGGGGGGGGGGGCTCTCGGCATGTGGCATGGCTCGTCTTTTGTGTCTGGCACCACTGGTATTGCCTGTGCAGCCCTCATTTGGGTTGCAACCCGAGGTTGGGAACCAGTGGATTAACATAACATTATTCCCTTCATTTTTTAGGACCCAGTCCTCCAAGCTACTGCACTGACAGGTGCTAAGAATGCTGATCTCATCTAGTCCTTGTAGGTTATAACAATGCCTTCAGAGAGTATATTGACAACATTAAGAGAACATATTTAGCAAATGTATGTTACAGTACTTCCTCTGGGGAACGTCTTAGCTTACAGAGCACAATGTTCTTATAATGAATTTAAAAAAATGCACTTTCTGCTACAAGTCTTCTACCTGCTATTGTTACAAGCTGCCAGTTACCATAACCCCCCCGACCAAAAAAAACAAACCCTCAAGAAAAATTTTTTAAAGTTTCCCATACAGATTTGACTGCACCTTATCTTACTTTCATTTGCAACTACTATAGTAGTTCTTCCCTGTGTATGCTTCTTTCACAAAGCCCAAAAGGAAAGAGAAAAACAACTAAAACTACAAAAATTGGCAGGCACTCAGAAGCACCAGAAATTATATTACAATCATTTCTTGAAATTCTTCCAAATTTCAGATTAATAGCTTTTTAAAGAAGTTATTTAGACCTCTAATGATGGCAACTCACAAGACTTGGTAAGGTCTTGAAAAATCCATCTAATGGCAATTCGGCAGCTCTCTTCAGGAAGCGTGAAGTCTAAGCCCTCACTACTATTTTATAAGGAAAAAAAATCACTACCCCTTCGGGTTGTGAAAAAACATCTTCCATATGAGGAAAGGAAGTAAGCCAATGCAGCATGACTTTTCTGAGTCTACAAATATTCAAACAGGTCTGCTGCTGTGGATAATTTTAGCAAAGCAAAGCATGATACCACTAGAGCTGGTCACTTCCATTGCTGCAACCAAGTCATTTGGCCAACAGTGCAATTGAAAAACTGTAGCAGTTTCACTACTGAGTATTGTCAAGCAAAGGTAAACCATCAATTGTGTTTGTCCGTGTGTATGTACCAATCTAGCTCTAGAAACATCCTGGATATCAGTAATGTCCTAATAAACAGTTGCCAATCAATACTAAAAGATCCTGGTCAACTGAGATTCTTGTCTGGGGTACCATCTCCAACATTAAACTTAATAGGTATCGCTATCCATATCACTGGAGTAAAAAAAGCTCCAGTAACCTGGGTCAGTTAAAATCAAGTGATGTAAACTTTTTCATTTTTGTTAAAGAGAAAGTTTCCCCAAAATCCAAGTGGATTTTCAGAAACCAAAACCAGCTGTCTGGTAAACCTCCAGGGTGCCATCCTGTAGTTCAGGCTTGTCCAACATGTGGCCCGTGGGCCACCATGCAGCCCACCAAGTCATTTTCTGTGGCCCACAGTGCTGCGACGGGAAACGAAAGTAAACACTGGTTACTTTCGTTCCCACCCCTTGTCCTTCCCCCAACCCCTCAGCAGCTTCCTAATAGCTGCTGAAGGGCTAGGGAAGGGACAAGGTTCCCACGCGCACCGCGTCAGCTTGACATTGCCGACTCGGTGCAGCTCCTCCCCTCCCCCCTCATTTCAGTGTCCCTTCCTCGCCTCACCCCTCCCTTCCTCATTTGCATGCCAGCTCCTCCCCTCTCCCACATTGCAGGGTTTCCATTCCTAGCCCCACCCCTCCCTTCCTCATTTGCATGCCAGCCCTTCCCTACGCCGGGCCCCGCCAGCCGTGTGGGCTGGAGCAGGTCACAGTGCAGTGCGCGGGCAGGCGCAGGGGGCGTGGATGCCAGCTCAGAGAGATACTGCAGCCGGGCCTGCGGGAGATACTGCTGCCGCTGTGGCTGTCGGGGCAGGAAGTCGGCGCCGCTCCTACCTCCCCACTTCCCCCCGTGCCCGCAGACATCACACTGGGGGTGGTGAGTCGTAAGCCCCGGGGAGTGAGGGACCCCTGCTGCTTGGGCTCAGGCTGCCTCAGGGGAGAGGAAGCAGGGAGGTGTCCCTGCACATCCCACACCCCCCTGTAGAGTTCCCACATGTCCCCCTGGCTGCTGAGCCCAGGTGCGCAGGTGTGGGAGCATCCTTGAGGCCACCCAGGTGGCAGGGAGGACACGGCGGGGGCAGGCAGCACCCCTTGAGCCCTGCGCCCCCAGGCTGTGGCCGGACTGGACAGGCCGCACAAGCGCCTGCTCCTGCTGGCCCACTGGGCGATAAAAAGTTCATGATCCGGCCCCACATTCAAAAAGGTTGGACACCCCTGCTGTAGTTAAATTAACCACAGCACAAGGTGGGCCACATTTGCTTAAATAGCTATTTCATTCCTGAATCCTTCAACGGCAAAACAGAAACAACCAAAATACTCTCCTCCACCAGAATGATTACAAGTAACAGACTAACTAATAATGGCTAAGGAGTGTACATCCATTAGCATCTGAAAAAGAATCTGTCCACATGTTACCGCCACAACTGTGCACTTACATTTTCTCCTACGCAGACATGTCATAAATTGTAAATTTATACAGCACCTAATTCTTTCTGGGTGTTATTGTAACAAGAAATATCATTCCGAAAGAGAAGTATGACGGAGAGAAACAAACATAACCTTTTGTCCTTTAAGAACACAGAAGTGGCATGGTATCACAACCACTTACAGTCCTCTCCCAGTTTTAAAGCTACACAATACATTTAGTGGAACAGAATATTAAGACTAATATTCTAAAATTCTACATCCTCTAATCAATTAAATAATTCTTTTTGGACACAAGTGACCCCTAACAAATTTATAGTTAACGTGTTAAAAGAACAGCTTCTATCAAGGTGTTACAGGCTGCAGTCCTTGAGGCTATGGTCAAAGGACATCTTTGTAGTAGACAAAGAGACAAGCAGTTTTTGGAAGCAAAGAGTCACTGTTTAGTAGAAGGTGCTCTCTGGAATTGGATAAACTTAGAGTGGGGGTCAACATACATAATTTTCATAGGCAATAAACTAATGATAGGATTTTCCTCAGAAGCAGGACAGAATATTTTTGCCATTGGTGAAAATAAAGCAAAATAGATTAAGGATGGTTCCTTTTCATATGACAAGTGTGGCCAACATACGGCACCTGTGCCACAAGTGGCACACACAGCTACCTTGTGGCACATCTGTCAAAAAGTTTGGCCCCCCCCCCATAAGTGCGTGG